TTCCACAAGCCAATTGTCCTGCCCTAGATAGTTGCCAGCTGGGCTCTCACTGGCCCTAAACCGCTCCAGCTGGCCTCTTTCTTTCTAGCCCTGGCTCAGGGCCTGAGTCCTGGTCTTCAAGGGCAATCGTTTTTTTTCTCTTGCTGAACAGGGTTTTTTTCCCCTTGCTCACACTTCTGCTTTACTTAGAATATCCTCTCCTTTAAAAAACAATACCCAACAACAATGCTAGCATTACATATACCACAAGACAAGATAAACTTAGACATGAACGCAAAACACAAAACATTTTTTTTTGTTATGGCAGTAGAACCATGGTTTAGTTTTAGTTTTTTTCAGTTGCTCTTCTGCTGGTACTAGCTCTTTCTGATGTTCTGAAAGACAAAAGAACATTTTCCAACTCCCATGGGGATGGCACATTATATTTTGTAATACTCCTTTCCTTTACAAGTATTCTTGGTGACTTTTTATCTGCCTGCTCTTACCCAATAATTACTTATGCTTTTGTTTTGTAAACCAGCCAAGCCTCAGTAACATCCAACTTCTGTGGGTTCCGGGTAAATTAATTCACTGATCAATTATTACATTAATAAGGTGGTATGCCTCAGTTTCCCTCTTATACAGCAGTCCAGGTTTTAATAGTTTTTCTGTTGTGAAACTCCAAATTTATTCACACATAGTAACTGAGAAGCTTTACTTTTATAGTGATTTTCCTTTACTTAGCACTAGGTATTTGCCAGTTACCATTTCTGCAAGCCCAAAATGTTTTCTCTTCCAGAAAGAGAATTATATATAATGTAGCAAGGTCACTTATTAGCACTAAATTTGTTATCTATAGTTATATACCATGCCTTTTATTTGGACCATTTTACTTCAGAGGACAGTGCGTGTTATACCCTCTTGACATGTTTGAATAGCAGACCCTTTCTATCTCTGTACAGTTACTTACAGAGAATTAGAACTAACAGCCAAGCAGCCTGCATTCACACACCCTTTCTGGCTGGCTTTCCGATCCAAAGTTATCAGCAACCCAGAGGCTCAGCCTTTAAAAGGGGCACAGTGAAATTCCAGAGGTCTGACCCTCATATGATTGTGGTTGCAATGCAGTGGACCCCATTTCATTTTTTAAATTTGCCAGGGCCACCTACTCTGTTTCTGTCCCCACTCTTCAGGCACTGCGAAAGTGCTTGCAGTCTGGTGTTTAACAACATGGGACGGTGCTTCATTCTTTTCCAGATTTTTAACAATTTTTATTATTATTCTCCTGCTTTACTTGTTCGCGCAAATCATATGCCTGGACAGCCTGTTGCTCTGCCAGCAGAGTGGCTTTCCAGTGCTCAAAAGCCTGTGTTGCTTCCTCTATTTTTCTATACTTTTTTCATTTATTTGGGAAGCTAGCATAGTGGAATGCTGTTTAAGCCGTCTTATATTCATTGCAAAATTCTAGCTCTTTTACTTTTATTCCTATTCTTTCCCAAATCTCTGGATCTCCTTCCCATTCAGGGATATCATTCCATCCTTGTCACCAACTGAAGGAACAGAAGTTCGACACTGTATAGATCCAAGCACAAGGGTTTATTACGCACGGTGCAGGCAGAGTGTCACTTTGCTTATTAGGCTCAGTGAGACACTGTTAAGCAATTGATTACAATAGGTTAGATAGGGTGCCAATGGTCAGACAGAATCGACAGGGTGGGAGTTCCCGAGCCCCTGGATAGGTTCTAGCAGCAAGATATAATGAGCATAATAAGCCAATAATCTAAAAGGTTACATCATTGCTCCGCCCATAGCTCAGGTTAACATGTTTGCTAATACACAGGTGTTATCCCTCAAACGTCTCCTCTTGCAAGGTGTAAGTTAAATCCTGATTTCAGGTCCATAGAAATGACTCTGGCACTTCCCAGACAGGTTGGCCCACAGGCCCATTCCTACAGGGTCTCAAAGCAAAAAGACCAGTAAACAGGACCCAGCAATGACAATTGTGTATAGTTTATCAATGTGTCCTTTTGAGCTCGGGTTGGCATCTGTGAGGGACGGATGCCATAACTTATGCTGACATGCTGGCCTTCACCCTGAACTCTGGTTGGCATTCAGGGAGTATGTACTTGTTATCTTGTCCTGAACCACGGAGCAGACTCCAAGGCCCCTCTCTGTGAGTTATGTGCCCGTAACTCATGATAAGTCCCCAATTACTGCTCCCCACCTGGGGTTGGGTTGTCTCAGTTTGTTTATGGCTGGTTAAAAAACATGTCTGTTTCTTGCTTATCTGAACCTTTCTTTAGCCATGTATTGTACATACATTGGTAACTAGGCCTCCTGCCTAGACCAGTCCTCCACTCATCCTGAAAAAGTATCAATTACTACCAATAAATAGCAAAAACCTTCCTAGCTCCTTGGTAAACTGTCAACAAAATTCATCTGAATGAACCCTGTACCAAGGTCCAGGCTAACTTTGGTGCATTATGGACATGCATTATCCTGGGTATACCATCCACAATTCTTCACCTGTGTTTTAATACCGTCTTGCCCATTCTCCCATTCAGCAACTTGCTTTAACCTCCTGAAGATTCCCTCATCCCCTTCATGCATAAACTGATGTGCCACATTCATTAACTCCTGTCTTTCCACTGTACCTGGGATGGACCTGAGTTTGCCTGAGATATTTGTTTTTGACCCAAGCACTGGGTTAAGATTTGTACTCTGGCCTCTGCTGGTTACTGTTGCTGTCTTGTGATGGCATGCTATACTTTCTGCTCAATTATTCCAAATCACCTCGAGACTTTCACCTTTATTATGTGATTTTCCATGCCTTATTTTTAATTGCTCAGGATTATTATTAAACCACCAATGTGTGCATCTCTAGTCTTCTATATATGCAATTTCCTTCCTGTCTGCAGCTTTCCAGTAATCTCTTGCCCAATCATTCATCCAGAACTGCCCCCCTTTTCACAGAAAAATCACTATCTGTATAAAAATACATGGATTCAGCAGTATAATCCATGGAGTATGTGGATTCATCAGCATGGACTGTGTGCAATATGGATTCACCAATGAAATCTGCCTGCAGTACTGCCACTGGTTATTTGCATCTGATCATCTCTTTGCAGACAGGCAGGAAGAGCACAGCAAGAAATATGAATTCAGTAGGGCTATGTCTATACTATAAGTTTTTGCGGCAGAGAGTATGCTAATGAGGGACTTATTAGCATGAGTATGTCATTAGCATATTATCTGCGAATGCTTTTTACACAAGGGGATTTTGTTCAAAAAGAAGCAGCGTAGCCACTTCCCTTTTGCTCAAAACCCCTTTTTGTGTAAGATCCTTATGCCTCTCCGGGAGAGAGAGGATCTTGCGCATAAGGATCTTGCACAAAAGTGTTTTTTTGTGCAAAACGGAAGCAGCTACACTGCTTCTTTTTGCGCAAAAACTCATTGCGCAAAAAGCATCAGCAGAAAATATGCTAATGACATCATGACTCATGCTAATGAGTCCCTCATTAGCATACTCTCTGCTGCAAAAACTTGTAGTGTAGACAAAGCCTGGATGTGTATATATTAACATGTACTAGTCTTATCTGATTGTCCCAACAACATATCATTTGAGTTCTTCAAGCATTCTTTTCCAGAGGTTCTTTATAAAGTGTAGTGATACCTGTTTATTGCTACTGAGTGTTTAGTTAACCCTTTCTCAATTATTAACCCGACAAAGACCTCTCTCTTCCAAGGGGCACTTCAGAACGGAATAAACAGACACTAATTATTTGTTAAACTAAGATTTATAGTCAAAACTTCCTTTTGTGTTAAATACAAATATAACTTTAAAGTTAGGAGTGCTCATAATACTTAGGAGTGCTCCTACGTGTGTGTGTGTGTGTGTGTGTGTGTGTGTGTGTGTGTGTGTGTGTGTGTCCATTGGGCAGGGTGTTGAGTGGGGGGGATTTCAGGGAAGGGGGTGGGATGCAGGAGTCAGGGCAGGGAATAGGGGTGCTGGAGTCTGGTCAGGGAGCTGAAAGGTGTGGGGGGCTCAAGGCTGGTGCGGGGGTGCCAGAGTCAGGGTAGGGCATTGGGTCTCAGGGCAGGGTGTTGGGTGTGGAGGGGGCTCATGGCAGGGGGGTGCAGGAGTCAGGGCATGGGTTTGAGGTCGTGGGGACTCAGGGCATGGAGTACAGGATTCAGATCAGGGGTGGGGCACTCAGGGCAGAGGGCTGAGAGGTCTGGAGGGCGGGGGGTCACGGTGACAGTGAGGGCAGCACTGCTCCAGCAATGCGGGCTCCCTGCAGCTCCCAGGACTATGATGCCCAGCCAGCATCTCCTCCCTCTGGCTGGCGGTAGCTCCTGGGGGGTGGGGCTGCACTGCCAGGCTCCTTCCGAGGGGGAAGGGAGGCCAAGGCTGTGCTTTCTAGTCCCAGCCAGCAGCTTCTTGGGGGAGGGGGAGCGGCTCCACTGCCTGGACAGGTCCTCCTGTGGGTGGGGGCTGTGCTGCATGGCCTGTGGCTCCTCCAAGTGAAGGGGGAGGCGTGCTCCCCGCCCCATCCAGTGGCAACCTGGAGAGCTCTGGCCCCAGCTGGCCACTCTCTTACTTGTGAGGCTGCCCTCCTGTGGTCATGCTGCAGTATAACTCTCCCTCGCACTCACAGCCCCCCTGTGGTCATTATGGAGCATAACTAGACGCTCTGTTCCGAAAATGCTTTTAACGGAACACTTTTCCGTTAAAAGCATTTCCGGAAAATCATGCCAGTCTAGACGTAGTCAATGGGTATTTGGGACAAGATCTGAAATATTTATTGACCTGGAAGGTAATGTTTCTGATCCCTTGGGCTCAGTAGAACTTTATTTGACTGGGATGCATAGATGGAAGCTTTCCAACTACTTAGATGCTATATGGAACCCCAAGCACTTGGAACAATCCATCTGCTCTGCAGTATAACCCGTATCTTGGTCTAAATGGCCAAAAACTCCAGGTTCAAGGAGGAATTAAAAAAAGCTACTGGCAAAAGAAATCACAGCAATGAATGTATTAAAATTACAGCACGTAGAGACATGCCAGGATCCTTCAGATTTCTGTTCGGAACTGCAGTGTAGTTCCAGACATTTTCCTTTCATAATCTTCATTGAATCTCTCATTCTGGGCCACAGTAAAGTGATTCTTCCAGTCCCCAGCAATCCCTGAAGCAAAGAAGACAGTGGATGAAAGCAAAGGCATTCCCAGTGGTGGGCAAGGTAATAGAAAAGAGTATCAACAAAACGTTAGTGGTCTCAATTCTGCTCTGTTGCTTTCTTTTCTCTAGCTCCTATAGATTTGCAAAAGTGTAGCTGAAGCCAGACTTTGACTCTGATCAGTTAAGTGAATACATTTTCCATGCACCACAAAAGACAAATGTTGTTCATTAAACAGAGTGCTCATTAGCCAAAAACTCAGTGCTGAGCACCCCCCATTTCCTCTAACAGATATATGCAAGGAGAGCTGGTCTGCCTAACAACCGACCACTTTGAATATCTTTTCCATATAATGATGACAAAAGACATCAAGAAAAATGCTGGTGTCTAGGATAGCTGCTTTTTAACAAGGGTACTTACTATTTTTATCACAATGTTTGGGCAACAGTTGACTTTAACTGGAATTAAGTCACTGGAAAATTGGTGAACTGAAATATTGTATTGGTCAGTTTTCTAATGGTTTGTGGGAGCTCAAAGTGGATGCTGGAGAAAGCAAACCAGCTAATATTCTCCATTCTGTTCTAAGTGTTTTAAACATACTTTTGGTATGACAGTTATTGTCCCTCTCCTGTATTATTGTTAGTAAACAAGTTTAATGCATGTTATGGGCTAGGGGGAACCTTTCAGGCACCTAACAAAGTGGCCAGATTTTTAGAAGGGCTCAATGCACACCAGGGCTCAGTGGGAGTGGCTGAATGCTTCTGGAAAATTCAGTCAGTGCCTTTTGATGTTTAACTGGGAGCTGAAGTCTTAGAAATTGGGATCTCTCCCCTCCATTTATTCATAGATCAGGTTCTAAACAGGTAGCAGCAGCAGAGCGCAGACTTCTACAACTCCACTGAGCTCTGTTCTTCAGGTGACGGCTTCAAGGGGCAAGAGTGATTTTTGGTCTCCAGGTCCACTTAGCCCTTGGCCTCTGACGAGATGGGGATTGCTATTTAGTGCCTTCTGCCAAGGCATCTGTGAGATAGAAACACCTAACCACTAGCAATGGTGCCACCAACTTATTTTACACAAAAGCCATCAGATATAAATACCATCTGCTTAGCTTACAAAGGAAAAGAAGGATGAAAAGTACCATCCTGTTACAATCGAGGAGAATAATGGTTGCTAGTACCCGTGTGAATCCTTACCCTTGCGCATAAAAGGGGAGATGCTGTGGTCCATTACATCACTTGGAATCATCTTATAATTTGTGATGGGATTCTCTTTCATCATTTCAAATGAAGTGTGAGAGACAATCCTGTCGAGAACCTCCTCCTTCAAATCCTTCCCCAGGAACATCATCACCTTGCGGATTTCACGCTTTGGATCCTACAGAAAGACAAGTGGCACTTCGGAAGGTGTGTTGCGGGAAACAGTTACTCCCCTCATCAGGAGAAAGTGGCCACCAGCATGTAATGCAGTGCAAGTCTAGCACTTCTGTGAGGAGCCAGAAACCTCAGTTCTTTCATTGCATCAAAATCAATATCCAGCAATACATCTGATCAACCTTGCACCCATTTCTTACACCGCCTTCCCAAATGAGAAATCCTCAGGAGGGGTTCAGTTTGAATGTGAGCAAAGGAGTAAGTCACTTCTAGACTGGCTCCCCATTTTTAATTACGTGCTTTCCTAACTTCCTTCTCCTCTTATGGAAAGCTTTTTCTCAAGCTAGCATGCAGCCCCTTCCCCCCACCCCGCTACACACATACACAGAAGCTGGTCCCTTCCATGGTCTCTTCTTCTCCAGATGTAGTCCTAGAGAAGGGAGAATAAGGGGGAAGGAGAAGGCTCCCAGGATGGGTTTTAGTTTAGGCCAGGTTTACAGTATGGGAGAAAGTTGATCTAACACATGCAACTCCATATATGTGAACAGTGTAGCTGGAGTTGACATACCTTAGCTTGACTTACCACAACATCCCCATTGATGGAGATCGATGGGAGAAAGTCTCCCACCAACTTCCCTTACTCCTCATGACCCGGTGGAGTCAACGGAGTTGTGATCAATGGTCGATTTAATGGGTTCTTATTAGACTCACTAAATCAAACTCTGGGAGATCAATCTTTGCACCATCAGCCTCCTAGTAAGTGGAGACAAGCCCTTTAGCACCAGCCAAAGTGCTTAGAGAGTCATAAACAGACTTTTTACTCATGGTGGACTGCACTACTCCGGGTGTACTACAGGTGTCAGAATTGTTGGCTCCATCTCAATGCATGTGGAATGGCCCCTTATGAGGGGACACTTGTCCCACACCAGAATGGAAAAGGATAGACCAGCCTTGGGAGAGAGCTGAAGCTGGGAGCCAATCGGGAGAAGGATTCAGGCAGCCAATCAGAGCCCAGCAGAGCTGTATAAAGAGATGGCTGACCAGGAGGAGTCCACTTTTTACTCCGGCTCTGGAGCAGGAGGAACCTAGCTGCCTGCTGGCCGTGGTACCATAGACAGAACAGTGCTGGGGAAAGACTGGGAAGCTTGGGCCTGAATAAACCCCAGGCTGAGGCCCAATGACAGGGGCCCAGGGAGGCCCTAGTGCTGCAGAGGAGCAGCCAGGGCAGGAATAGGAAGCAGGTGCAACCCCCCTTGCCAATGATGAAGTGGCCAGTTCAGACCACAGTTTGCCCCTGAGGGAAGGAGCTGACAATGAATGGCAGTGGGGCACTGAGGCAAATGGTGGCTTAGAATAATAGGGTCCCCCGGAGTGTGGGTGCTTCTGTGGGGCAGTACCCTAAGGGCAGGGCGCTATGGTCTGAGAGTGATGGGGGTCTGATGAGTGTTGGAGAAGGGGACAACAAGACAGGAAACAACAGGAGAGATACCACCCAGCGAGGCCACTCTGAGACTGGACCGAACTAATTCCTGGAGTGGCCAGCAGGGGGTGCCATGGCAGGGCGTCCCAACATGCTACACCCCCCAAGTGTGACTTTGTTGCCCTCTCACCTCTTTCATGTCCTCATAGAACAGGTACAAGATGGGATGATCCTTTCTCTTCTCCCACCAGCATTTCACATGCTCGTACCAGGACCCATACGCAACTGAACTTAGAGGAAGAGGGGTGCACGGGATTAGTGACGCGAGCGTGTCAGGTAACTGGGGGCCACATGCCCCTTTGGCTTAGCGCCCCTGAAATGCACTGTGTGTGCTGTTACTACGACACCCTATGCAAATCATATTACTGTGCACGAACCCCCCTTGGTGTGGTTTCCATACACTGGGTCAGATACTTTGCCTCATTGGTTGCACTGTCAGGTTAGAATCCTCATGTGTTACTTAATGACCGGAGCAGGCACCAGGTGTTAGCTAGCTCGTATATAAATACAGATTAGGCACACGTTCAATGCAGTCAATGGCCTGATCCGCAGCTGGTGTAAATCAGCTTCACTTTATTACAGTCCATGGCCAGTTCCTTAGTTAGTGTACAGTGGCCACAGCTCCACTGATGTCAGTGCAGCTCTGCTGATTCACAGCTGCTGAGGACGTCTCCCTAAGATCTAGTTCTAGTTATATAAGGTCTGGGCCAGTGTCCAATGCTATACAGATTCCCCAATCACTGTTCCCTTGGAAGGGAGCATGGCTGGAGTGAAGGCTTCTCAAAACTCTCCAATCTAATAGGAAAACTCCCTCCCTCATTTCCCACTGGACTTTAGTAGAGAGAGAGCATGCTGACAGGCATAGCATCCTTTTTTTCTAGAAAGTAGCAGGTTCTGGACTCGAAAATTCTGAAGTTGCAGGTCTCTTTTGCTTCAAGCAGCATCAATTTAAAACCCTGGGAACACAAATAGCTAAGAGATGTTGGTCTTCACCTCTTCCTGCAATGTAGTTCTCAATAAATTGCTCCCATGTGCCAGGGTCTGGATTCAGCTTGATCATTCGGCCAAAATGGTAGTAGGAGACAGCTACATCTTTGGCATTTCGGGCAACGTAGATCATCTGCGGAAGGAAGAAGAGAACAATCCAAGTTGCCTCCGTGACTCTGAGTTCTGAGTCGCTCAGGACTTGGATTTTCAAAGGTACTGAAGGGAGTTGGTGCCTAACTCCCTTTGTCTCCTTTCAGACTCCCAACTATACCGCAGGGGATCCAAATGCTGGCTCAGGAGGGACAAATTAAAGCTGCAGGGATTTAAAGCACCTGGGTGCTGCAGTCTGATGAGAGTAGAGCACCATGGACTGAGCAGGGGATTGGAAGCTACAGGAGCTCTGTTCCTGGCTTTGATCCTGACTTTTTCTGTGGTCATCTCTCTGTTCCTCATCTACCCCATCTGTAAAAATGGGGAAACAACACCACCCGTTTCACAAAATCATAGAACACTAGAACTGGAAGGGACCTCGAGAGGTCATCAAGTCCAGTCCCCTGCCCTCACGGCAGGACCAAGCACCATCTAGAGATGATCTCTGATGGGTGTTTGTCTAACCTACTCTTTAAAATCTCCACTCCTCCCAAGGCAATCTATTCTATATAGGAACTTTTTCCTAATGTCCAACCTAAACCTCCTTCGCTGCAATTTAAGCTTATTGCTTATTCTATTCTCAGAAGTTAAGGAGAACATTTTTCTCCCTCTTCTTTGTACCTTTTTTAGGTACTTGTAAGCTGCTATCATGTCCCCTCTCAGTCATCTCTTTTCCAAACTTAACAAACCCAGTTTTTTCAATCTTCTCTCATAGGTCATATTTTCTAGACCTTTAACCATATTTGTTTCTCTTCTCTGGATTTTTTCCATGTCTTTTCTGAAATGGAGTGCCCAGAACTGGACACAGTACTCCAACTGAGGCCTAATCAGTGAAGAGTAAAGCAAAAGAATTATTTCTCGTGTCTTGCTTCTGACACTCCTGTTAATACATCCCAGAATGATGTTTGCATTTTTTGCAACAGTGTCACACAATCTATATATTTAGTGTAGAGAATCATGCGTCTGTCTGTGTGTCTGTCTGCAAGTCTGTTTGTACAAGAGCTCCTCCTAAATGGGAAGAGCTAGGTCTGCCAAATTTTGTAGGCCACTTCTTCTTCTCCTAACTTAAAGCAAGGTCACGGTTTGTTTGATTGTGCCAGAAAAATCAGAAGTGCTGGGAAACGGACTGTTTTCCATAACCTGAAAAGGAAGGGGTGCAGAGAAGAGGGATGCAATACTAAGAGTGGCCAGTGGGGGGAAGTAAGCCCACAGGAGAGAGCTATACTGCAGAGAGGCCACTGGGGGAGTGGCACCACCACGAGAATGGCCAGCAGGGCTGAGGTTCTGCCATCTTGCCTGCCACCACACTGGGTAAGTAGCCCTCAGACCCCAAACCCTGTCTACTCTGGCCTTTGGTCACAGCACTGGAGGGGGGAGAGAAAAGGCTACCAGTGTATGCCTGGAGGAAGAGAAAAGGCCCATGCCAGATGGGACCCTTCCCCCAGCCTGAGCCTCTCCTCCAACCCTCATTTTGCACCCTTACCCCTGCCTCCTGCACTCTCACATCCGCAAGACCCTGCCTGACTCCTGCACCCCCACATCACCTGCCTCGGTCCTGAAAGATGTGGGCAATGCCAGGTAAGTCTTCTAGTTGACTTGTATTTAGCTTGTGGTCCACTATGACCCCTAGATCCCTTTCTGCAGGACTCCTTCCTGGACAGTCACTTCCCGTTCTGTGTGTGTGAAACAGACTGTTCCTTCCTAAGTAGAGCGCTTTGTATTGGTTCTTATTGAATTTCATCTTATTTACCTCAGACCGTTTCTATGCTTTGTCCAGATCATTTTGAATTATGACCCTGTCCTCCACACACTTGCAACCCCTCTCAGCTTGGTATCATCCACAAACTTTATAAGTGTACTCTCTATGCCATTATCTAAATCCCTGATGAAGATATTGAAAGAACCGGTCCCAAAGCTGATACCTGCAGAACCCCACTTGTTATGCCCTTCCAGCATGACTGAGAACAGTTATCCAGCCAATTACAGTAGCCCCATCTAGGCTGTATTTCCATAGTTTCTTGATAAGAAAGTCATGTGAGACTGTATCAAATGCTTTCTTAAAGTCTCAGTATACGACATCTACTACTTCCCCCTTATACATAAGGCTTGTTATTGTATCAACGAAATCCAGTGTCAGCCAATGCACAAGCCACTGCAGTAGCTTTAGTACTTCACCATGAAACCAACAGGCAGCCAGCACTTCCTCCAAAGGGGGTGGTATATGCCAGGAGGAGATTGTGACCAGGATGCCTATGGGATTTGCTATTCTCTTCATCCCCCAGGCAGCGTCACATAGAGCCTCAGTCGCAGGTTAAACCAGTCTACTTACAAAGGAGGGAAACAATGTATTATCCCTCTGCCCTGTTCTTGAGGTGCATCCTCCTACTCCTCTGATGCAGCAGTCAGTAGGTCTGCCTCCAGGGCTGTGTCCAGACTCAGGGTTTTTTTTGAAAAAAGTAGCCTTTTTTTCGAAAAAACATCACCTGCGTCTAGACTGCAGCCACGTTCTTTCAAAATTAAATCGAAAGAACGCGGCTTTTCTTTCGACGGCGGTAAACCTCATTTCACGAGGAAGAACGCCTTTTTTCGAAAGTGCTCTTTCGAAAAAAGGCGTTCTTGAATGCCAATAGGGCTTTTTAGAAAGAGAGCATCCAGACTCACTTGCAGCTTTCTTTCGAAAAAGCGGCTTGCTTTTTCGAAAGTACTGCTTGCAGTCTAGACGCTCTTTTTTGAAAGAGGCTTTTTCGAAAGATACTTTCGAAAAAGCCTCTTTCGAAAGAGGTTTGCAGTCTAGACATAGCCCATGTGTATTCAGACATAACCATTCATCTAATTGCAAAACACACCACGCCCTGCGGGCCTAACATAACTACCGATGGGTGAGCTGGATTTTATTCTGGCTCTTGCATCATCAAGCAGAACTGTTAGTTGACTTGCAATTGCAGGACCATATTTTCCCCAGTTTTGTCTGGGTAACCCCCATCAAGCCAAGCAGGAGTTCCAGACCATGGGTTTTCTACAGATGGTGGTGATGTTGGTAGTTTTCTTTTCAGGATCTTTGTTATTAATCATAGTACAGGAAGGGACCTAGAAAGCTCATTGAGTCCAGTCCTCTGCCCTCATGGCAGGGCCAAGCACTATCTAGACCATCTCTGACAGAGATTTATCTAAGCAACTCTTAAATATCTCCAGTGATGGACACTCCCTAGGTAATTTATTCCAGTGCTTAACCAGGGGTAGCAAGTTTGCAGAAATTTTGGTGGTGCCCAGAATGCCCAGAGCCTGCACCCAAACTCCCTCTCCTGCCTCCTCCTCAGAGGGCATTTGGGTGGAAGTCGAAGTGCAGGCTCTGGAAGGGAGTTTGGGTGCTGGGTACAGGCTGTGGGCTGGGGCAGAGGATTGGGGGCAGGAGTGGGGGCAGGCTCTTGGAGGGATTTTGGGTACAGGAGGAGTGAGGTATGGGGCTCAGGCTGGATAAGGTAAAGGAGGGGATCTGGGATGCAGGCTTCTGGGATGGAGGTGGGTTGGCAGGTGGCAAGCTTTTTTGGCCCTCACCCTGAGCCAGGGATACTCCTGGTGGCTAGACAAACATCTTCCTCAAAATAGAGTGGACGTTCTCTAAAGGCATCGGAATCCCATGAGGTCATCTTAACGGGAACTGGATGACTTAATCCCTAAGAGATCTTTGAAAATCTCAGCCAAACTATGAATATTATATAAACCTGCATCCCGATGCTGTTCGGGTAAAGCTGCCAAAGTGCTGCCCTAGATAGATATCACCACAGCAACTCACACAAAAAAAAATCCTCTTTCTGCCTGAGAAGAGTCAGCGGGTAAAAATGAAGGAGCGGAACCTGGCAGGGGGGGACCAGTATGAATATTCTGTGTGCTCAAGGCACATATTTCCCCAATTGGCCAATTGTCTAGAAGGCCTAAGGACCCAGTCACAGATTACCTTGCAGTCATTTTCCCAGAAGGACGTTGGAAGGAGGTGGACTGGCAAGTGGGTTTTCACTAAGCGAGGAGATGGCTGCTTGTCTAGTTGCTCTGTACCTGGTAAGCAAAAGTTCCCAGGGATAATTGATGCTGACAGAGAAGGCATTAAAGGTAACATTTCCAAAAGTACATTAGAATCACTGAAACTTGGCAACAGAAGCCAGATCTCCTGAGTCTCAGGGCAATGATCTATCAACAATTCCTTCGTTCCTCTCTGAATCTGCAAGCCAGCCACTGAATCTCTGACCATCTTGTCCGTAATCACCAACCACAAGTGCTACGTTTACCTGGTGGCATCTTTCCAGGAACAGCAAATTCCAACATGGGCACTTTGTTGAAAATTGCATCCCGCTTGCATTTCTCAGGATCTCCGTCATTCAGAATCATGTCCACAATCTCACTCATCCATGTAGTGCCTGGAAACAAGATGAGCGAGAAAAACTCAGTCAAGAATCAAGTTTATCCACTCAGTCAGAAATCAAATCCACTGTCCTTCGAGCCAAGCCAGCAGCACTTGTAGATATTCCATCTATCCACTTAGGATCCTCCATACACTAGCCAAGCAGTTCTCCAGTGTGGGTTGGAGACCCCCAAAGTGGGTCATGTCTCTGTTTTAATGGAGTTGCCAGGGTTGGCTTAGACTTGCTGGGACCCGAGGACAAATCCAAATCCTGAACCCACCCTCTAGGGCTGAACCCTTGGACAGTGTGGTTCAAGGCTGGAGTTACAAACCCTCTGTCTGCAGTTTTGCCACAACCACTGCCCAGTGCAGAGGGATTTGGGCTTTGGTTCCCCCTCACCTGAGGCAGCAGGGTTAAGGTTTCATTTCTTCCTCCTGAGGTCATGTCGCTATTTTTGTTCCAGAAGGGGGTTGCCATGCACTGAACATTGAGAACCCCTGTTCTAGCCACATCTCTTCCACCGGCCTGAGGCTAGGTAGCAGTGGAATATCATTGGTCTGTAGCAGAACACTGCAGTCGGCAGCATGGTCAAACACAGCTACCACGGGAAAACAGACCACCCCAGAGTTCTCTATCAGTGGCAAATCTGCAACCGTGTCCCACCACACCCCTTTTCAGGGATGAGGTGAAGGCTTCCTAGGCCAACACACGTGCTAGCTGATTTTCCACCTCTAGGTCTTCAGTGAGCATCCTCAGTGTTCTCAGCAGCTGCCTACAAAATAGAGGAAAAGACGAGGTTCCAGCCCTACAGGGATTTTACCATTTGTGTAATACACCAGAGTGGCCTATCCCAGCTGATGTGGGACAAGAGCTAGGATGCCGCCCGTTCTTTCATCCCAACACTCCTTAATTTTTCTTCTGCTAACCCCTGCCTGCCTCCCTATGAGCCAGCACCATATAGTCACCGCAAGGATGGCTCATTGTGCCTGGTTCCTTGCTGGGCCAATGCTTAGACCTTTGCTGCCTCACACAAAGAAGGGCAGCTGACCTCATTTGGAAACATAAACAAGTATTTTGAACTCTGAACTCCACCCTGGAATGAGAAAAATCCAGGCCTTTCATTCCATCTCTTCTGAGCCTGATGTTTTGTTAAGGTTAAAGATAAAATACGTCTAGACTGCAAGCTTCTTTCAGGAGAAGCTTTTTAGGAATAGATCCTCCGGAGAACCGTTTTCGAAAGAGAGCATCTACACAGCAAAAGCACAATGAAAAAGCAATGTGTTTTTTCGAGAGATAGCGTTCACATGGATTGGACACTTTCTTGCATTTCAATTGTGATTGCTGTGGACAGGGTGGCCACCAGGGCACCTCTGCTTTTTCCTGGAGGCCTCTTCTTTTGAAAAAACACTCTCTTCCGTGTCCACACATGCATTTTTCTGAAAAAGTCTTCTTCCTCGTAGAAAGAGGTTTATCGCTGTCGGAAAAAAACCTCCGTTCTTTCAACTTTCTGTCCAAAGAACATAATAGCAGTGTGGACATAAGAATAGTTTTTCCGGAAAAACTGCCATTTCTCTGGGAAAGTTCTGCAGTGTACACATACGTAAGACAGGCTAAGAAAATACCATATTCGGTCTGTCCCTTTACTTTGGGGGGAGAGGGAAAGGCCCATCCTTGTCCTTGTGCCTGCAAGGTGCATGAATATCCCTGTTTCAGGTGATGAACGACATAGATCATAAAAAACTTAAAAAACAACAAATAGTCTAACAGCACCTTAAAGACTGACAAAATATGTAACTGGAATCATGAGCTTTCATGGGCACAACCTGCTTCTTCAGATGAATGGAGTTATTAAAGGTTCAATTTCTACATAAATAAGGGATGGGAGGGAGAAGGAAAAAGAAGGAGAAAAGGGCAAAGAAATAGTCAGAGTGTCCATGCTCCATGAAGCTGATAGAGAAGTTGCAAAGTGTTCTTTCGTACCCATTGTTTGGTTTTTTATGTCATTAGGCTGTGGAATGTAGTAGGTCACATGGATGTAGCGGATGGTGGCTACATTCCACATCCTAATGACATAAAAAACCAAACAATGGGTATGAAAGAACACTTTGCAACTTCTCTATCGCTTCATGGAGCATGGACACTGTAATTGACCATTTCTTCCCCTTCCCTCCCCTCCCCCCCCGTTTTTTAAACTGGACCTTTAATAACTCCATTCATCTGAAGAAGTGGGCAGTGCCCATGAAAGCTCAGGAGACCGTCTACATGTTTTGGCAGTCTTTTAGGTGCTGCACGACTATTTGTTGTTTTTTAAGTTTTTCCAGTTAGGAGTCAATGGAGTTTTTCCAGTTTTTCCGTCAATGGAGGCATGTAGATTAGACAGACAGGCAAAGGGAAATGAAGCCGTGATTTAAATAATCGCGGCTTCATTTAAATTTACGTGGCTGCCGCGCTGAGCCGACAAACAGCTGATCAACTGTTTGTTCGCTCAATGCGCTAGTCTGGATGCTCCCCTGCCGACATCAAAGCCCTTTGTCCGCAGCCACGCGAGTCCTCGTGGGC